TATTGCATATTTTCCACAACATTGACCGTAATATGCCATATCAAAATATCAAAACCAAGTTTATTTTTTAGCATCACCAAGCTTCCTTTTGTGTTCATTCATCCAGTCATTTAGGTTTTTGAAATTTATATTATGTAGTACATTGCGATCAAACTTGGGAAACTTGTCATACTCCCTGCCTTCTGTGAAACAGAACACTTCACCTTTTATGTGGAACTGGTTGACAAGTTCTTTAAAGTCAGACTCCCACTTCGCAATTACATGATGACCTGATGGCTGATGTCTGCCTACTTCCTCATCTACGGACTGAAGAAACTTCTCAATACGCACAAGTGAATGACTGGCACGTGCTGCAGTAACTTCGTTAAGGTTAGGACCGAGGTTTCTCAACATCTCCTTGAGTATGTGATTTAGATGCTCTAGCCTGAGATCAAGGGATATATTCTTTCCCTTTTGTCCTTTTACATTAACAGTTCTGTTCCACATGAGACGATGTGCTTCTTGCGGTGTACAGAGTGCATATATGTTAGCTTGTAGCTGTAAACCTGCAAATGCATACTTATTGTGATTATATGCTTTGAACAGCAATGTCATGTATTTCCAGCACTTAATAATCCGTTGTCCATCCCCTTCTCTTACTGCATCATCAAAATTCCGTACAAACCCCATGCTAAGTCTAACACATGCATAGTTATATATGTAATCAGACTTGTCAGTACTTTTATTCTTTTCAGTTTCTTCACTCGTATCAGTTGAAGACTCGTCTTTGTGAACATAGTCATGCTTCTTTGTTTCATGATTTTCCATTGCTTTCTTGTAGCGATATTCCTTGTTGCAAACTCTGCAATTGTAAATATCTCTGGACTTGGGTTGATTATGCTGCTGCACTCCTTCTACCATACTATGAAATATTTCAGACTCTTTGTTCATTACATACTTTAATACCATACTTTTCACATGCCTATGATACCATAACCGCTTTTCATCATCACTGCCATTCAATATGTGTGGGGGGATGACCTCATCAACTGGCATATCAAGAGAGCTTATGCCAAAATATGTCATAGCACAAGCAGTTATAATGGCATCGGTTTCCATGTTAATAAAATTTTTACATTGATTTAAATTGTCAAGCACATTAGTAGTTCTAGCGTTGCTGTTGTTGACAACATTCATGTTGGAACACATTGTAGCCACATCAACAGATGAGTTCCCTTTATACAGTATGTCATACAGGATCTAATATGTCAAGAACAATATTATGATTAGAAAAGAATTAAATTACAACAGGCAATTACAGCTTTTAATTGTGCATGCAGGGGGGGGAGTAAGGTATCGTATTGCTGATTATGCTAAAAAAATAAGAATGGTGGCCTTTTAAAAACACAGAGTGATAGCTTATACTTGTAAATTGTTGAAATATTTCAGTCGTTTCAGCAGTTTTTACTTAACTTTTTTAGCAAAATTATCAAACTGATACCTTACTTCCTGTCACCTCCTGCATGCATAAATTAAAAGCTGGAATTAAGTTGCAATGTGCCCTGATGCACCTTACTTTCATATTTTACTCAGCCTAGGGGAGAGGCTGCAACTCTCAATGGGTTAATTAAATTTTAACCCATTGAGTCACATTGCACCCCGATGCACCCTACTTTTAGTATTTTACTCTGTTTAACGCCAGACGATTTTACTCGTCAAGGGGAGAGCGCTGGCGCTTAATGGGTTAAAATACAAATACCTTATATCCCACTTGTGCAGAATTATATGCATATTTTAATTAAGTAATACTTACAATACAAGTGGCCACATTGTATCGGATATAGTATGAGGTGTCCCACAAGAACATGAAGAAATTGTATTGCATTTACAACTATTAATTAACCAATTAAAATCCAAGACTCTCGCCTTCATGATCAGTAAAATTGTCTGGCGTTAGACAGAGCAAAATAATAAAGTAAAGTGCATGTGGCCACATATATATTGATATAATAAACAAACCTGATATATCAATCTCGAAGCATGCCAATCTTCAACTTTGGGCATTATACCTTCCAGTCTCTCAATGCCATTATCTCCATCACTCCGGGCTAGTTTTGCATTGCGACTTCTTTCCTCTGTTAATTGATCCCCTCCAAAAAATATTCGATCTTGAATAGTGACAGGATTATTGTGAGGATCATCATCATCATCATCATCATCATCATCAACATCAACATTAGGCTGAACTGGAACATAACTTGACTGTATATGATCCAAAATGTCTATCATTTGATCTGTACAGTTTTCGTTCTTGAACAACAAGCCAAGCGGGTTCTACAAAATAATTAAAGTGCATATGGGGATCTGTGTCCATATATTGCTTTCAACGAAATACAATGCAATTGGCAATTTATTAGTTTGCATAAACATTGTGGTAAGTTTAAGCTAATTTTGAACTAAAACAAACGTTTGTTGTAGTGAGTAAAATAACTGTTATTTTGTTATTTTACAATCAATGTCTAAACATACTTTTGAGTGATGCAATAAAAAATGTTTAATTAAAATACCTCTTCTGATTTTGTTTTCATCATTTCATTATATTCATGTGGAATATGCTTAACCACAAATTTCTTGAATGGTCTGAAAGCAGGCATGTTACCAACAAGTACTCTTTCACACAAGACAACAAATTCATCAAGTAATTTGTCACTGTCATCAGCAGAAGGTAGAAATTCTGTATTGCTGACATCCTTAATGGGTCGCAGTGGCTTGCTGTTACAAAGATGTGAGCCATTAACACGTTCTCTCACAACATTTAGGTTGAACCAATGAATACTCTTGTTTTGATGTTGTGAACCTATATGTTTTGCTTTTACAAATATGTCAACGTTATCACCAATTATTTGGTACAATGATATGGGAGACATATCATCTATCAATTTGGAAATTGCCACACTGTATGTAACATGCAGACTCTGTGCATATTTTGATGTATTCTGTAACAATTCTTCAAATAGATTGTTATCAAATACTTTCCCACACATAACCTCCACAACAGACTTTAAGTAAGCAAAATCTACAGATCCAGTTTGTTGTTCCAAGGAATGAATTGCCTTCTGTACTATGTTTGCCATGTGTTGTTTCTTTCCACAATCTTCTGTCTCTCTTTTCCATTGTAGAACACGTTTGTCATGACCTTTACACATGCTGTCAATCTTTGTTAGTACACTCTTATGAGACATAGCCAATCCCAATTTGTGCATTCTATCATGGCACTATATATAAAGAGATTAAATGTAACTGAAGTAATAAGATGTGGTTGCCTTTAGCATAGACAGATTTTCCAGGGGGGAACACCCCCCCCCATAAACACTTTGCAACCCCCCCAAAAAAAAACTTTTCCACACCACCTACAGAAATTTGCACACCCCATAAATTTAACTGCTCATTGGATTAAATGACAGTATAGAGTAAATGAAATATTACAATTTTGAAGTATTAGACTATAAAAACAAAGGATTTGAACCAAATAAGACCAAAAATCTCTTGTATGTCCCCTCCCCCCTTTACCACATTAGCAACTGTGCTCTCAGACCCCTGCTGCAGATTGTTTAGCAGTGCTACACAATCCATTGTTCTATCCCACTAAATGCTTGCCCCCCACCCAATTTTTGGCCTCCCCCCCTTCTGAGTAAAATCTGAAAGTCTGTCGTTGCCCTATAGGCTATAAATTATGGAAGGTTGTCTTGTTGGAAGAATATTATATCAGAGCCAAGGTCTGTTAGGGAAAAACAACAACATTTTACAATTACATATAAAATCGTTATGGAATGTCACGATAGGAATGCAAATTTTTGCCCAAATAATTCGATTGACCAAAGCAATGCATGGCATGACGGCAACACGTATACTGAGACTTAATATATTACAACAATGTTGGGGCTTTGTTTTTGAATTAATACATATTACCTCCGTTTTGGTACCTCCATTCCATAACATTACCCCAGTTCGGTATGCCTGAGCAGACATTTGTTGATTTCTGTGCTTCAGCAATACGGAAGAGGCTACAGACAGAGCTTGATGAGGCCTTTTACTTATCTTTACATTTCCCTCTTTCAACAATTTCTCTTTCTCAGGGGAGACAGCACACGACCTGAGACAACGATACAATATTGGACATCTCTCTTGCAACTCTAGTTCATGCCTTTGCGCTGAAAATGTCTGCAAGTCATCCGGGGAAATTTTCCTTAACAGGGAAGGCGTAGTTGTTTTACATATCTCAACTGTTTCCTTATTAATTTCCTCTTGAAATTTCTTTAGAAGTATTTCTCTAAACTCCTCCCTTTTCCAGATGGCGTTTATTGCTGTAGAATGTTTGGCAACTGTTAAGTTAACAATTATTTGTTTGATTCTCAAGTCGTGGATTATTTTTTTCTTTAAGAGATTTGGCCATTGTATGAAAACCTGCAAGGAAAAACGTGACTTTTATTACGAACATGCCTATATACAATATGTTTTAATAACTAAAATTCCTATAAATCATACTGGTATAAACTTATCAACAGATCAAATGCTACTATTCTACCTCAACTTTCGTTGTGGGATTTTCTTGCTCATTTTGAAGACGATTGTCGGCTGAAACTGTTCCGCTCATTTCTTTCAAATGACCAGCAGTAATGTTATTTGCAAGCACAGGCAGGAGCAGTGCCGTAGCAAGCTCGATAATTGGGGGGGCTGATATTCATATATTCGTGTTCTGCGTTATTAATTTCTTTTGAAATCGATTGTTTTTATGGTCTGTGAACACGAATATATGCATATCAGCCCCCCCAATTATCGAGCTTGCTACGGCACTGAGGAGAGACCTCCTTGCTGGCGATCTACATGTTGATTCCAACTTGTTGTTTATATTATTTAACGGCGAGGATGTAGTACATAATCTCTTTGTTGTTCCATTCGAACCAACTCCCAAAGCTGGCGATTGTCGACACCTCTTCTCGCGAACTCGAATACTTTCGTTTTCGGAATAAGCCGTAACAAAATCATCCAGCTCTTTCTGGAACTTTTCGAATTTTTGAATCTTTCGAAAACATCCTTGACACACCATAGAAGACAAATGGTTCTCTTGAACAACATCGCGTTTCAGCAATCTTGACAGTCGACGCTGTAAATCATGCTTAAATCCCGAAAATATGTTGTAATGACCACGACCAGCAATCTTGAAATTTATGCCGCACAATCGGCAAATCTCCTTAAGATTAACGGTTGATACAGGATAAGCTTTTGTGGGAGTATGCTTTGAAGTAGACATAAACAATGTTTTATTGACACATTTTCTTGCGAGAAGTGAAAGCAGTGCACCTAGTCAGGCAAAAGAAGGCGGCAAAACCCTGTCTAGACGGCCTGGCGTCAAGGATAATGATTGGCTAATATTTTTAGAATACGATGCATTATGCATTTTTTGCATTCCTTATCCGAACCAGGAATCGCTAACAAATTCACCAGAGGTTTTTCCTCTTTCTTCGCGAGTTTTCTCCTTTCTCTTCGCGCGTTTTCTCGCAGTTCGCGTTCGCCAAACCTAAAAACCTCTGGTTCCAGGGTATACTAGCATTCAAGGTAATGCCAATGCAAGAATGATATAAGTATAAATCATGCAAATTTGGGTATGCACAAGTCGATGGTAGCTCGATGCTGAACTGAAATGTAGTGCACAACCCCACAAAAAAGCCTAAATTACAGCCAATTGGTAAGTAGTAGCAAGTAGCAAGACTAGCAGTTTATAATATTTGTGAAGGATACAATACAGCTTGTTTATACTGTATATAAATCTAGTGCTAACTGCTCTTTATGAAACAAAGCAAACTACAGATTGCATGAGCAGCATGCTGTTTAAACTAATAAACTGGCACTAAAAACAAAAGCCAGTGCCTGAAACTAGAAAGAAAAGGTATGTACACAATGTATAAATAACCATGTACAACGTTTTTTATATCTGCTCCAGATATATTGGTGTAAATATAAAATATAAGTGTTTGACAAATACATATTTATACCTCGATTTTATACGCATATCGGCCCCTGACTTTGCCCATCGAAAATTAGTCGAATAAAAGGTAAAAAATCTTACCAAAATCTTACACAAATCTTACCTTTCAGAAGAAATATTCTTCCTTTTAAAGTCTTTACAGCGAATTTTTGCATCCACAAGTGGAGAAAAACGGCATGATTTTGTCTTGAAAAGATAAAATATTTGTGCAAAAACAGGGGGGCGAAGGTCTTTGTCGGATGCTTAGGATCGCGGTTGGTCAGTGGTAATTGCCATGAGCCGGAGGAACCATATGGCGTCAGCAAACCTGAAAATCCGCCATGTTTTTGCGGACACTTTTTTGACTGACGAGAGATAGGAGCACCTCCTCCAGTAATATTATAGCTCAGTGGCCAAAATCCTGCCCGCTGCAAATCAGGCCCCCCATAAATTTGAGGGCCTGCCACGCAGGCTAACAAAACTACGGCATCCAGTTCACAGTTTGATTATCATAGCGATAGATAAAAGCTTTGAAAATTCAATTGAAAACATTTTAAACCACCCGTATTTGTATAGAATATATGTTAGTTGTATTAACATTGAACTTCTTTATGTTTGAACCCAAATTTGTACTTGTTTTGCGTTTGACAAGGCTGTCAAGCTCGCGACGAGTGGCTTTTATACCTCAGTCAAGCATGACTACAGATTTAGCGTGTCAAATATCTTCTTGTTTGTGTCAAGATTATAATATTCTCAAACGAGATATTCTATACACTGGAAACGTAGAGTACATTTTACTTTGTCTTTCTCTCAAGCAAAAAAAAGTATAAAGATTAAACAGGCATTCAAAAATATACAACAACCACGAACATCTCGTAATATTTCTTCGGGGAAATCTTCAAGTTTCAATGGAAATCTGGCGCATGCGCAACAGCTGGGAAATTTGTTGCGCATGCGCCAGATTTCCATTGAAACTTGAAGATTTCCCCGAAGAAATATTACGAGATGTTCGTGGTTGTTGTATATTTTTGAATGCCTGTTTAATCTTTATACTTTTTTTGCTTGAGACAAAGACAAAGTAAAATGTACTCTACGTTTCCAGTGTATAGAATATCTCGTTTGAACAGCAATAGAATATTATAATCTTGACACAAACAAGAAGACATTTGACACGCTAAATCTGCAGTCATGCCTGAGGTATAAAAGCCAATCGTCGCGAGCTTGACAGCCTTGTCAAACGCAAAACAAGTACAAATTTGGGTTCAAACAGAAAGAAGTTCAATGTTAATACAACTAACATATATACTATACAAATACGGGTGGTTTAAAATGTTTTCAATTGAATTTTCAAAGCTTTTATCTATCGCTATGATAATCAAACTGTGAAAATGCCGCAGTTTTGTTGACGCTTGCGAATGCAAAATAACTTCCCGTAAACAGAGCATTTCTACACAAAACTCTCGCTTAGTCTTCTGATGCACTTGTACGTTCGGTTCTACTAGTTAAACAAGGAAAATATTCAAGAAACACTGGTAAATTATCGTTGTCAAAAAACATTTCAGTGCTGAGGCAGTACAAGGTCTCAAGGGCAAGGTCAAGTTGTCGATTTCATTACATTTTACAGTACTTCGAATGTTTTCGAACTCTTGCTTCATACAAGAGCAGTAAACGCACGCATTTCAAAGCGAAATTAGACGCAAAGGGGCAATTTTTCAACAAAATTCATTGTTAAATTATGTTTCCTATGTGCCTTGGGAGCAAAAAAATATGATTTTAAATTTGGAGGAATCGGTAAATTTTTTTGCAATTTGGCCTGGTATTGCACCCTACCTATGTAATGACTGTGCTGTAAAAGTAATCAAATATACTATTTTGAATTTCCCTTCATTGAAAGGATCTACTTTGTGGACTAAACTAAATTTTAATCAGCATACAAGGCTGCAAACAACAGCCAAGAATTAGCTGGGTAGTTTGCAAACTTTAAAAATAATTGGACCTCAAACTTTGATCCCCAAAAGTAAACAAATGGCCAATACTGCGAACATAATCCAAGTTTTGACCACTAGGGGCAATTTTTAGATGTAAAAAAACTTGTTTAAATTACATATCAAACAAAGGCAAAACAAAATTTGGTATTAATTTTTTGGAGGAAACGTCAAGGTTTTTTGCTATCCGCGCACGCTTCTACACCCCCTCCCCCAGGATCTTCTCTATCAGAAAACAGTTTTCTGCAGAAACTATGCTTTTTTATCGGGAAAATTTTTACTTTTCTCAAAAAAATACTTTATAAACACGGAAACCTTAAATATTTAAACAATTTCCATACCTTTTTGGGATTGCAAAAAGCAAAATTTGATTCATAATCACACTTTTTAAAATATATGTGACAAAGTTGCTTCGAAATCACTATCACGCAGTAGCATGTTTATTTACCCTCATCCTTTTGACTGAATAAAGTTTATCTTTTTGAAAAGCTATTTGTTTTATAGCTCTTGGTTAGCAGTTTACGTTTATGTCGATTTTGGCACCCATGAGGCCAACAAGTTATGGTAATCCGCGAATGAAAACTGATATTCGAAGAGCACAAAAGCCAACTCCTAGCTATGTAACTTTATCGCCTGAATTTTGAATCAATCCACAATTAAATTTCTGGTAATGTAGATGCTTTCCATACTTGAGATGTTAGTGAAGTTTTTCCAACAATTTAATTTCCTTGATCGCCGTCTTAAAAATGCAAAATCATCAGTTGAAATTTCACTCGTGTTGTTTTTTCAAATTTTCGAATTTTTGTAAAATATCGCGTGCGCCAGCAATTTCTCTGCCCAGCGACAACAAATTTCCCAGCTGTTGAAACAGGGTGGACTTTCGTCGACGCTGCATGAAAATAGTGCGGGCTCGTGAGCTTTTTCCTGCAAATTTTGCTTTTCGATGTTTTGCTTACAATTTCTAAGGATGTTGAAGTTTACAGCATTGTGATTCACTGGTTTTTGAAAGCATCGGGGTTTTTTTCGTTGGAACTTGCAGGCTAACTCTTCAACAACCTAATGACTGTTTTTAAAGCAAAGCAATTGAAAGGAAAACTTATATTTTCATACGAAGAAGATGAGTGGCGATATTTATGTTGTACTGTTTTGAGCAGATGCTTCGAAGAACATGATATGATCGGACCTTGTATCTTAAAAGTGTACTTGGAACAGCCGAACAAAGTGGTAAATTGTGTTACCCGGTGTGTTGGGCATCATAATTCACAGGAATAGTACACAGTGGCGTTTAAACTGGCTATGAAATATCGTGAATACTTCGTCGAGTTCTCTACCGCCATGTGACCTGTAGTTTAATGTGGCACGCGTCTTTGAAAGGGCTTTACTTGACTTTAATCGACGTGTAAGGTATAACTTAGGTAAGCCAACATTTCTTTGTAATGCAAGCTACATTTTCATATCTTTAATGTGTGAATATTTTTAATTTTGTAAAAAATAAGCGCAATATGTTGTTGGAGAAAGTATCGAGTGCTTCATAATAACGCTCAGATCTTGTATACAGATAATCGTATTTTATTCAAAATCTACCCTTTATCACCACTTTTTTTATTCTTTTATGTTAAAGTATACATAATCCTTGACTTAAAAACACGATGATCTACTCGAGGAAAATTGGGCAAAGGGGCGATCTTTGCAGAGAAACTTGACCGTTCGGTGAAATTGGTAGTTCAGAGACCCTATATTTTCATTGTAGTATTTCGTGTGGCAATTTGTTGGCCGATTTCTAGTTATATTGTAGAACGGGTTCCTAGTGAATTAAATTAATTGTCTATCCTCTACAGAGTAGTAATAAGCGCGACTCCTTTTTGTTGACGGATGTTGAATTCATTTTAGACTTTTGTTCATAAACAACAACTACACTACCGAGTACTAAATCACTGTTTGCAAAGAAATGAGCCTATATCACCACAAAAATTCAAGCTTATTTTTAGAGTCAAATAGTTTCTCCATCGATAAAAGTAGTTTTTATGGAGTGAAAAATAGGGCAAGTACGAATTTAAAGAAGGTCAATTTGCACTTGTATATCTCACTTCGAAAAGGATATACATATTAAAAACAGGTATATTTGCACTGCGAAATTAAACTGCTGCAACAAAGTTTTTATTTCTACTTTCACGTTCTTATTCCAAAGCAAACACTTCTAAGTTGGAAATGCCTAAAATTGTGAGCGTAGAAACACTAAAGAAACAAGAAAACGACTTCATAACACGAGTAGTTTTGGCAAATTTGATGTTTGTTTTTATAATTCAGTCACGCGATTAACCCGCGCTCACGTGCACTCCACGCTTACGTTTCTCGCGCATGCGTAGACGGAAGTCCACCCTGTTCAGCAGCTGGGAAATTTGTTGTCGCTGTGCAGAGAAATTGCAGGCGCACGCGATATTTTACAAAAATTCGAAAATTTGAAAAAACAACACGAGTGAAATTTCAACTGATGATTTTGCATTTTTAAGACGGCGATCAAGGAAATTAAATTGTAGGAAAAACTTCACTAACATCTCAAGTATGGAAAGCATCTACATTATCAGCATTTTAATTTTGGATTGATTCAAAATTCAGGCGATAAAGTTACATAGCTAGGAGTTGGCTTTTGTGCTCTTCGAATGTCCATTTTCATTCGCGGATTACCACAATTTGTTGGTCTCATGGGTGCCAAAATCGACATAAACGTAAACCGGTAACCAAGAGCTATAAAACAAATAGTTTTTCAAAACGATAAACTTTATTCAGTCAAAAGGATGAGGGTAAATAAACATGCTACTGCGTGATGGTGATTTTGAAGCAACTTTATCACATATATTTTAAAAAGTGGGATAATGAATCAAATTTTGCTTTTTTCAATCCCAAAAAGGTATGAAAATTATTTAAATATTTAAGGTTTCCGTGTTTATAATGTATTTTTTGAGAAAAGTAAACATTTTTCCGATAAAAAGCATAGTTTCTGCAGAAAACTGTTTTTTGAGGTAGAATATCCTGGGAGAGGGGGTGTAGAAGTGTGGGCGGATAGCAAAAAACTTTGACGATTTCACCAAAAATTTAATACCAAATTTTGTTTTGCCTTAGTTTGATATGTAATTTAAACAAGTTTTTTTACATCTAAAAATTGCCCCTCGTGATCAAAACTTGGATTATGTTCCCAGTATTGTCTATTTGTTTACTTCTGGAGATCAAAGTTTGAGGTCCAATTATTTTTAAAGTTTGCAAACTACCCAGCTAATTCTTGGCTGTTGTTTGCAGCCTTGTATGCTGATTAAAATTTAGTTTAGTCCACAATAGTAGATCCTTTCAATGAAAGGAAATTAAAAATAGTATATTTGATTACTTTTACAGCACAGTTAGTACATAGGTAGGGTGCAATACCAGGCCAAATTGCAAAAAAATTTACCGAAATCTCCAAATTTAAAATCATATTTTTTTGCTCCCAAGGCACATAGGAAACATAATTTAACAATGAATTTTGCTGAAAAATTGCCCCTTTGCGTCTAATTTCGCTTTGAAATGCGTGCGTTTACTGCTCTTGTATGAGATAAGAGTTCGAAAACATTCGAACTACTGAAAATGTAATGAAATCGACAACTTGACCTTGCCCTTGGCCTTAAGTCCTTGTACTGCCTCAGCACTGAAATGTTTTTATAACAACGATAATTTACCAAGTTTCTTGGATATTTTCCTTGTTTAACTAGTAGAACCGAACATACAAGTACATTAGAAGACTAAGCGAGAGTTTTGTGTAGAAATGCTCTGTTTACGGGATGTTATTCTGCATTCGCAAGCGTCAACAAAAGCCGGCATTTTCACAGTTTGATTATCATGTCGATAGATAAACGCTTTAAAAATTCAATTGAAAACATTTTAAACCACCCGTATTTCTATAGAATATATGTTAGTGGTATTAACATTGAACGTCTTTCTGTTTGAACCCAAATTCGTCCTTGTTTTGCTTTTGACAAGGCAGTCAAGCTTGCGACGATTGGCAGGCATGACTGCAGAATTAGCGTGTCAAATGTCTTCTTGTTTGTGTCAAGTTTATAATATTCTATTGCTGTTCAAACACAAACGAGATATTCTATACACTGGAAACGTAGAGTACATTTTACTTTGTCTCGAGCAAAAAATTATAAACATTAAACAGGCATTCAAAAATATACAACAACCACGAACATCTCGTTATTTCTTCGGGGAAATCTTCAAGTTTCAATGGAAATCTGGCGCATGCGCACAAATTTCCCAGCTGCTGCATAATCGTCTCATTTAGCCCCACCGTCTCGTTTTGCCCCGACTTACGCTATTAACATCTAGCTCTTTTCTATTATTGTGAGCATTAATTATTATCTTAGCATTGGAAAAAAAAAATGATTTGGGTTCATTTTTTGTTCTTCGAAAAGCCAAATATTTTACATTTTAATGATAATGCACAACAAGTTTGCACGTAATAATATAAACGCTTACTCAAAAACTTATATTTTGCGGCATGATTCAGTTGCGATGCATGAATAATCAGGAAATTACGATTAATCTAAGGTTTGCCGTCATTTTGGACTGAATGTTGGCAAAGGCTTCTTGACTTTCATCGACTTTGCACGTCAGAAGAATCAGAGAGCGTCGGCACACGCAGTAATGATAAATTATTTCTGCCGCGAGCCCTCTATCAACTCCTAATCATGCAGATTAATGTAGGCCAGCATTTTACAAAATCTATAGTGCGTAGTATGTACGTTACAAAATGGGTAAAGTTATTGGCGCATTTGACACTGACCGTGCGAAATTTGACTCCCACTACAATAAAAATAGAGCAACCCCACCTCCTCCCCCCATTCAATGTTGTGTGTAGTGTGTTAGACGTGCAAGGTGTTACCCAACATTGAATGGAGGGTAGGAGGTCTGAACATGAAATTCCGAACAGAATGAGCAAGTATGTACATGTCAATAAGAAATGATTTTTCTATTTTGACTATACGTCAAGTATTTCTGACCAGGATTTTAGCATGTGTATGGAAAATATAGCTTAAAAATATAAAAAATACCATGAAAAATCTCCTTGCACAAGGAACACTCATGGGAGTGGAACACTCATGGGAGTGGAACACTCATGGGAGTGGAACACTCATGGAAGTGGAACACTCATGGGAGTCGCCGAGTCGAGGCTTAAGAAACAGGAGTTTGGAATATATCTGGTGTCTGTTCCCCTTCATCATGAATAGACAATCGAGAGGAATTGGAGGCACGGACGATTTACTTTCGATTGTCTATGCCTTCATCCTTAAAGCCCAATCAACCAACCACTAGTGCTTCCACGTGCATTTGCTTTTTCCATTTGTTTTTTTTTTTCATTTAGATCCAAACAAGAAGTCCAGCAAGTTTTCAAAGTTCGGATTGAGGTAACATTAAGAAAGTAATCTTACTTCAAAAGTTTGCTTTCAGTGCATAAAAGTATAGAATTCCATGATACGCGATCATCGTATTGTAGATTAGGATAAAAGACTATTATAAATAATACGTGTTTGCTCATCCATGCCAACCCCTCACAAAAAGCCTTTGTTCGAAATGTTCAAATGTTTTAACCATTTTCTATATATAGTAGCTACAGGCGGAAAAAAATTCCATGCATGCAATGCAGACTTTAGAATGGGGGAATGTTTATTAACTACTTTTTAACTACCCGTTTCGCGGTTAAATTGTAGCATTAAATTCTGATTGGTTAACTTTCCGACGTACTATGTATCGGTTGTTTTTATACAACCGGTCCCTAAGTAACAGTTGGGGAATATACGAGTTTGAAAATTTCAAAATAATGAACACACGAATTATTTTATGATCGAAAGGAATAAAAAATGTTGAATACAAATAAAATTACGATCAAAAATATTTTGTTAATCTGTTAATCTGTTAATCTTTCATTTAAATGATTCTTCTCTATTGGTATATATATATATATATATATATATATATATATATATATATATATATATATATATATATATATATATATATATATATATATATATATATATATATATATAATTGCATACAATGAACATTTACTACAACAACTCTTTCTTTCCAAACAGCTTTAAAAATGTTTATCACCATATCTGTGACTCCCTGTGACTGCTGTGAGCATATATTCAGTGTTGATTTTTTGATTTACTTACTTGCTGTAATAATCTTTTTATTCCAGCAAAATCTGAAGCTTCAGGAGCTCTTGCTTCAAATTCAACTTGAATTTCCTAAATTTGTTGTTACAAATTAAAGATATAAACAAACACCGCTTAACACCACGTGCAAAAGTGCAGCCGAATACTGATTCGAATATGTACAGCATACAAAGTCAAATATCTCTTAATACACGCGATTTATTACATTTCTTACCAGTTCAGGATCGATATCTGATTCAGAATTACCGCTTTCTTCATCGCTTGAAGAACTTTCGTCGCTATCTTGTTGAATAATTTCGTCTTTTCGCTTCTTCTTAGACGAAATGGAAGCCATTTTGTTTTAACTAATGCTGTGGTCTCACCCCTCCTGAAAATTGGGACTAGCTAACAGTCGTGGGTCGTGGGTAGAATGTCGTGGGTCGTGGGTAAAAAGTCGTGGGTCGTGGGTAAAAAGTCGTGAGTCGTGGGTAAAAAGGCGTGGGTCGTGGGTAAAAAGGCGTGGGTCGTGGGTAAAAAGGCGTGGGTCGTGGGTAAAAAGGCGTGGGTCGTGGGTAAAAAGGCGTGGGTCCCGAATACAAAGTCGTGAGTTCCAAGCAAAGTATTTCCATACATTTACCTTTCTACCTTTCTTTGGAATGCGTGTTTTTTTTTCTTCTGAGGCTTTCCCAAACTATGCCCAAATATGCATAGTCTTAGAGCGCGTTAAGGCCGGGTTTTTGATATCGGCAGATCGGTTTAAAAATATTATAACCAAGTGTGGATGAAACAGTTCAACTTCACGCCCCATATAGCTCAAATATTTGGACGTTATAATCTTATAGACAGATAAATTAGTTACTGCAATTCTTCAATAAGAATATGGCTCAAGGCCACATGTACGAAAGCTGAGTAGCACTGTCCACTCGATATTATAGTCAAATTTTTATAACCGGCAATGGCATCGTATGTTTTCAGAGCTATATATGGAACTGCGGAGTATAGCTAACCATTTAATTAATGAAATAATATGACATTTGACTTATATATGGTCTTCATGTATATACTATACAAAGAATTCGAAGATCGCCGGTCTGCAAAATAGTGATGCATCGATATCCATATCGGTAATTTTGTTGTTGATATTACCGACATCGTCGTAAACATTACAAGAAAATATATCTCTAGACCAACCAATGTTGCTGTTATTTAAAACTGCTGAAGTCTATCCTAAACGATTTCTGAAATATCGCAAACTACAATTAAACGGAACAAACCTTGCATGTAAACAATGCTACTCGGGCTGTTATTAAATAAGCGCTGTGAAATTTCCAAATTCCAACTTGCCATCGACTTCCCTGAAACTTGATGCTCAAGAAATATGTAGAAGTATACCTCTCTGTTATCAAACCTACGGTAAAATAATCCGACAAAAGCCTACTGAAAGATAAGTCAAAGCATGAATGTTACAAATACTGTATGTGTCACTATGTGACTGAATATTTGTAACTTATATGTTTGACATTAGAAAATACAAATCACATAATAAATTTGACACTAGATTCACTACTGCAACATCATGGTTAGATACTAAGTATGTATTTAATTAAGTGAAATCTCTCAAATGCTTTCTTTTATTTTTCCCTAGTAAATTAACAGACATTGCATTAAATTAACACTGTCCAAGTGGAAATTTCTCGCTTATTACTGTAAGAACATCGATCAACAAATTAGTGAAGCCCTGAATGTCAGAATTTAGCTATTTATGACAGGCTTGACAGCACTATTTCCTATTGAAGAATTACAATATTTATCTGTCTATAAGATTATAACGTCCAAATATTTGAGCTATATGGGGCTTGAAGTTGAACTGTTTCATCCACACTTGGTTATAATATTTATAAACCGATCTGCCGATATCAAAAACCCGGCCTTAACGCGCTCTAAGCTATGCATATTTGGGCATAGTTTGGGAAAGCCTCAGAAGAAAAAAAAACACGCATTCCAAAGGGAGAAAGGTAAATATATGGAAATATTTTGCTTGGAACCCACGACTTTTTTTCGGGACCCACGATTTTTTACCCACGACCCACGCCTTTTTACCCACGTCCCACGCCTTTTTACCCACGACCCACGCCTTTTTACCCACGACCCACGCCTTTTTACCCACGACC